AACATGATGTGAAAAAGACTGTTTTTTTTTAAACTGAAAACAATATATTGTAGCAAACGTTCTAATTCGATTCAACTTTGTGCTTTGTACCAATATTTACGTTTAACAGGAGTGTGCTTACGAGTGACTATTCATTTTTGCGCTGGTTTATATCAAGTGTATCTGTTCAAAACCCTTTTTTTTATATTTTGATATTACTGGTCATTGGCTTCACACAGTAATGAATTGTATTTTAGCTTGAATTTGTTTTGCATCGACAATACTGTTCACCGATTCACTGGCTGGCGCTCGTCTTCTTCGTGGAAATGATAACAATCGCGTATCAGTACACTACGTATACAATATAATGGCAGCTGTAATACTGAAAGAAATGTTCCTCGTGATTATTAGTGTCGTAATAAAATACAATTTCCCTATGTTCGTCGGAGATGCTTAAATAGTTCACGTGGTACTGACAGGCCTACAGTGAAATCTTCCAGTCATCCGGTCAATGAACTTCTTTTTCTTAAAGTAATTTTGATTTTTTGAACTTTCAGTTATAATCAGTTTGCGTTACATAACCCGTAGCATTCCATTGTATTGTACAATCACACTAATAGTCACAACTCATCTCTTGTAACAGACGTCCCTTGGACTCTGTCCATCGTCCCTTTCGCTTTATTACAGCATAATTCATCATGACATTAGACTGTCACGTCACGGAGTTATGCCATTACAAGGAGACTAACTTGCCTTAAGCCTATTTCCTGTCTACTATACTTAAGTTTTCTTTCGGAACTTACAATTTTAAATTCGCTGGATATATTCGGAAATCAATTGTTTTCACCCCCTTGTAGTTAATATTTGGAAGATTAAATCTTAGGTTCTCGTAGATTACTCACTTTCACAACCATACAAAACGATGGGTAGATACTACAGATAACGTAGATATTGATCAAATGCATTATGTACCCCGGAACCAGACTGGGTAGACTTAAGGACCGGCCAGATAATGCTTCAGCCTGTAATCGAAGCCCGGTAATCAAGCTCTTGCCTGTTTCTTTCGTTAAGTCCCGTAACTTATACATAGGCCTATTTTTGATTTGTAAAACACAGGAGGCTATAAGTTGACTCAAATGAACAACGACAAGCATTTATTATTTTTTTTCCTTGAACTTCATTGTTTTGTTGTTCTGTGCTGTATATTTAAAGACATGACAAGTTCAGCTCCTTGCTTGTCATCACAAGGTCTTGGTTTATGATTGAGAGTAATTGCAATCGATCGAAATAGCAAGCAGTTTAAATACGTGATCTGTCAATATGCAAATGTCATCTTGCGTCCTTCAATCGCTTTAATAACTTCTGCGTAATAAAGAGACTGGATACTGATATTCTCGTAGTTCACACAGCACAATGGAGCTCGTACACAGTACGGACAAGTTCTAGGAAACCATTCATCATGTCGCAAGTCTCCGGAGGTTATGTTCGTGATACCAAGGGTCATCCTTCGTCATTCACATAGCAACAGACCGCTTCATCAGTAGCTTGTTTTGCTGAGGCCACTACTAGTGTGGTCCGGCATTAGTACAAAAAACTTGCTTGTAAAAAAATTCGTAATAAAATATATGAAAAAGGGCAGTGAAGACTATGATAAATTTTACATCTTGCTCTCTCAAAATCGTAAAAGCATTTCGGAATATCAAACATCATAATCGTGAAAGCTGTCACTAGAAAAACCAATAATCCGTGTCGACCTCTTTCCTCTAATTCGGACATTTGGACTGCTCGATTCCGCCAACTGGAAGAAGGTAGTGACATGCGTACACTCTGCTTAAGAATAAAACTGCTCTTGATCAGTCCACATGAATTCCACGATTATCAGTTCGAGGTCATCAATCATAAACATGCTCTGTCTTCAGTAAAGCTGACGTATACCCGCCCGAACAGTTGACTCACATGTTTGATTCCTACATTGGTTATAAACGACTACAGAATACCACAATCTAGACGGTTGTGGTCTAATTTGAGGAACAATACCAACATTCTTCTGGAAGTAATGAGGAATATCGCGAACATTTTCAGACGGGATAACCGGAACTTCGGCCCAGATTCAATTTTAGGAATATTACGTACGATGTGCACAAGGCGGACCCACACTGAGGCACGAACACACAAATGCTCAGGACAGGACGAAGCGGAATTTGCACAGGTCCCGTTCATTAACGTTCCCTATTGAAAGTTCTGTATAACTGCATTCTAAATGTACGTATGCATATTTTATGAATACTCATCTTTGAGCCTTCAACCCTATATGTTACTTGCATAAACTACCTATTAGACTTAATCCCCTCCAAGTCATGTGTCGAGATTACATGGACAATGCGTGAACATATCGTAACACTGTTGTAATGTACAGAACTAATCACTTCACTAAACTGACCAACCCTACACAACCTTTACTCTGAGCAGTCGACGTTTCGTCTGCTGTAAATGAACTGGGAAGCTTTGGCTTCGAAGGGTTGATATAGTTCAATGGAGAATTCCTTGTTGAGAAATTAAACTAGCAAAGAAATTCGAAAGCTCCAGGTACTCGGAGAGTGGTGAGCTCAAAGCTCCACCCGTTTTATCCACAGAGAAAGAAATCGCTGTA